GCCGCCGCCCAGCCCCAGCCCGAGCCCGAGCGGGAAGCGCCCCGAACCGAGCCGAACCGAACCGGGCCGAACCGAGCCGAACCGGGCCGAATCTCCCAGCCATGGTCCCGCGGCGGCGGCGCGGCGCGTGAGCGGCCCCGGGCGCGGAGCATGGCTTCCCGCGAGCGCCTCTACGAGCTCTGGATGCTCTACTTCGCCAAGGTGAGCCCCTATGGACCGGACCGGGGCCGTATGGACCGGACCGGGGCCGTATGGACCGGACCGGGGTCCTACGGACCGCCCCGGCACGCTGCGGTGTGGGGTGGCTGCAGGCTAGCACAGTATGGAGCAATATAGCCCGGTATGGCGCTGTGTAGCCCTATGGTATAGGGCAGTATAGCATGGTATAGCGCATTATGGCACGGGTATAGCCCGGTATGGCAGGGTTATGGTCTGCAAGGGTGCAATATGGCATGGTATGGCACAGTTATAGCCCGGTATGGCACGGTTATAGCCCGGTATGGCGCTGTGTAGCGCGGCTGTAGCCCTATGGTATAGGGCAATATAGCATGGTATAGCGCATTATGGCACGGGTATAGCCCGGTACGGCACGGTTATAGCCCGGTAGGGCATGGTGTGGTGCAGTATAGCATGGTTATGGTATGGTATGGCAGGGCTGTAGCCCAGTATGGCACAGCATGGCACAGTATAGCCCAGTCTAGCCCAGTATGGCCCAGTATGCCAAAGTGTAGCATACTTATAGCCCAGCATGGCCCAGTCTAGCTCAGTATGGCCCAGTATGGCAAAGTGTAGCATACTTATAGCCCAGCATGGCTCAGCATAGCCCAGTCTAGCCCAGTATGGCCCGGTATGGCAAAGTGTAGCATAGTTATAGCCCAGAATGGCATGATATAGCCCAGAATGGCCCAGTATGGCCCAGAATGGCCCAGTATGGCCCAGTATAGCCCAGTATTGCCCAGTACAGCCCCAATAGCCCAGCACAGCCCAGGCTGCCGGGAAGCTCCGAGTCGGAGCAGGTGCCGCGGCGGCGGCAGCACCCGGAGCAGGTGCCCCGAGGTCGCCCCTCCTCCCGCCCCCAAAAAGCCCCCTTTTTCCCCCAAAACCGCCGGCCGCCCCGGCCACCCGCTTGCTCTGTCCCACGGCGCCGGATCCGGGCGCTGTGTCCTCCCCCCGCCGCGATCCCTCTTTGTTCCGAGGAGGAAGCCGCCGCTCGCTCCCAAACTTCCTCGGTTCCGGGGGCAGCGACCCGGCTCTTTGCCGGGTAAAAAACCCGGTTTGGGGGAGCCGGGGAGGGGAATCCCATGGGAATGCGCGGTCCCGTCCGGCACGGCTCCGGAGAGCGTCGCTTCCCGGCACGGCCGGCAGTCCAGGGGTTAAAACACCCGCCGCCTTTTCCCTGTGTGGGTTTTTTCTTTTTCCCCGGCTCAAGGTGATCCCTGATTATATTTTTTTTCCGTTCCTCCTTCCCAACTCCGGCGGGTAGCGCCAGGCACGTGCCGGGCTCCGTAGCCTTGGAAACGGCATCGCAGGGATGAGCGGCATTTGCCGGCCGGAGCGGCGGTTCCCTCACTGCATCCCGTCGCTCCCGGGCTGGATTCCCGGGACATCCTGGCATGGGATCGCAATCGCTCCTCCAGGTCTTCCCTGCGTCCCGGTGCCGTCCGGATCCCAAATTCCCCCGTATTCTCTGGAAGGGACTGGGATGGCCCAAAGTGTCTAAGACTGACCCCAAAATGTGCATGTGTGTGTGGGTCAGGGAACCCCTTCCAGGGGTTGTCCTGCAGCTGGGACCTTCATGATATTCCCTATGGATCTGCATCTCCAAGGCTCATCCCAAGCAACAAAGTTTGTCCCATTGATGGGAGCTCCATGGTGTTCCCTATGGATGTGCATCTCCAGGGCTCATCCTAGGCAGTGATGGTCATCCCATTGATGGGAGCTCCATGGTGTTCCCTATGGATGTGCATCTCCAGGGCTCATCCTAGGCAGTGAGGTTTGTCCCTTGGTGGGACCTCCATGATGATCCCCATGGAGCTGCATCTCCCAAGGATTATCCTGGGGTTGTCCCATCAGTGGGACCTCCCGTGATGATCCCCATGGATAGGTCTCCAGGGCTCCTGTGTGACAAGGATTGTCCCACCGGTGGGAGCTCCATGATGATCCCCCTGGGACACAACACCCCGGGCTCATCCCAGGTGTCCCTTTGGCACCGAGTTGAGCAAGGAGGCCATGGAGGCTGGAACATCCCAGTAGATCCCTGTCAGGAATGCCACAGGAGCCCCCAGCTCATCCCAAAGAGCTGGATCCCGGGTGGCAGGTGCTCATCCGCCCCGAAAGCTCCTGTTCCTCTTCCTCACCCCCTTGTCCACCCGCATGCAAGATCCATGGGTTTCGGCCCCGGGAACGGACATGGCGCTCCAGGAACCGGCACCAGGCACGGAGAGCCCCGGCGGGGCCGGGAAGCGCGCCAGAGCGCCGGCGCGGAAGGACTCTCGGGATAATAGGGCCGTTCCCAGGCGGGAAGGAGCCCAGAAGCCACCCGACTGGCTCTGCGAGCCGGCTGGGCCGGGCCCCGGGGCCGGGATGAGCCGCCGGGCGCGGAGCGCGCGGGAAGGCGCCGGTGCGGGATGGGCGCCGGGCATGGAGCGTGTTGGGAGATGTGACATTGGGATGGGCTGCGGGGCTGGAGGCATCTGGGATGATGGTGACGTTTGGATGAGGCACCAGCTTTGGAGAGCATGGAAAGGTGGTGGCACCGGGATGAGCTGCGGGCTCCGGGTGTGCGGGAAGACATTGGGATGGGCTGGAAGCGTGCAGGAAGACGGAGCTGTTAGGATGAGGGGCTGGCCTTGGAGCAGCGGGAAAGGCGCTGGGATGAGGCGCTGGGTTCGGAGCGCATGGGAAGACAGCGGCACCGGGATGAGCCTGCAGGCTCCAAGCGTGTGGGAATGGCTCCCGTTGGGATGGGGCACTGGGCTGGAAGGGCACGGGAAGATGCCAGTGCCAGGATGAGGAACTGAGTCTGGAGCACATGGGAAGATAGTGGCACTGGGATGGGCCTCCAGGCTCCAGGCTTGCGGGAATGGCTCCCATTGGCATGGGCCAAGGGGTTGGAAGCTCATGGGAATATGACAGTGCCAGGATGAGGAACTGAGTCTGGAGCACATGGGAACACAGCGGCACCGGGATGAGCCTGCAGGCTCCAAGCGTGCGGGAATGGCTCCCATTGGCATGGGCGGTTGGGCTGGAAGCTCATGGGAAGATGCCGGTGGCGGGATGAAGCCCCAAGCTCGGAGCACACGGGACGCTCCGCGGGTTCCCGGGATGCGCGCGGGGCTCCCGGGCCACGGGGCCGGAGCGGCCGGTGCGGGCGCGCGGCGGCGCCGCCGGAGCCGCCCGGG